TCCTTCTATTCCAATTTTCTGTAGGGTTTTTATCATGAATGGATGTTGGATTTTGTCGAATGCCTTTTCTGCATCTATTGAGATGATCATATGGTTTTTGTCCTTGACTCTGTTAATATAGTGTATTACGTTTATTGGTTTATGAATATTGAACCATCCTTGCATCCCTGGAATAAATCTGACTTGGTCAAGGATCACTTAATTTTTCCACAGAAGAATCAATCTTATAGACAGAGGGTATCCAAGGAGCAAGTACAGGTCCTAGCCTCCTGGATGCAAGAAGGAGAAGGAGGTCTTTAATATGAAGCCTTTTTATACTTTTCTACCCCATTCAAAGAACTCCCACCCTGTGTTGTGTAGGAATATCTGATTTAAATTTGTCCAGGGGGATGGGGAGTAGAGCCTCTAATGTTACTGCACCAGTTTTGGGGATGGGCATGTAGGGTTCCAGGGTCTAGTTGCATCTTTTAACGGCTCATCATTTTCCCTATTTTTTGCTCCACCTATGTCTTTACTTTTAGGGCTACCTGATATTTTCAGTTCCTTTGCTTCACCAACATTGCATACAAATTTTAATTTTAATTTTTTTTGTCTTATTTTCCCTTGTCAGTGTTTTAATTTTTAGCTTTCTCAGGAATAAGTTCATTTGTACATTCTATGAGTTACTTCTGTATTTTTTATTGTACATCTCTTCCTCTTTTGTTCTTCCTATATGGTTATTTTAGTAAGTAGTGGATATAAGTGCGAGATACTCATTTCACTTTTTAAGATTTTTTTTTTTGGTTATAAACAGTGAATGCTAACATGACATGTATGAGGCCTGCCTTTTTGTAGATGACTTTCTTTTGAGGCTTGCAAAACTTGATGACAGTGATACTTTGTTCTTAGGGGAGTGAAATCTTAGCTATCAGTCATTTGTGACCCCCAAAAATGTACCAGAAAAAAGTCTTACTCCTCAGTATTTAATTTCTTGGAGTAGGGAGAAACATAATATAAAAAGTTTGGAATAATGTAAAAAGTGTGAGAAAGTCTCCTACGTTTCTTTATTTTTAAAATCTATTACTTTTATAGAATGTCTTTTGATTTGATCTTTTATGTCTACTTTTTCTGGACATGCTTGTCTTTGTGTTAAATTTGTTACATTCTTTGAAAACATCAATTAAAGTATTTGTCTTTTTTATCTACTCATTACAGTTGTATGTCAACTAATAGGACACATTCTGAGAAAAATGTCACATTTGTTGTGTGACATCCCAGGACGTACTTAACACAGACCTCGGTGGTATAGGTCGCCCATTCAGCGTGGCCTGTTTGATGCAGTCAGGAGACTGAAACAAAAGATGTGAGGCTGGACCTGGTGTAATATGGTATAATGTTTTATAGTGAACTTCTTTACAGTCGTAAGTAGATGAAGTTATCTAAAGTAACATTAAGAAGTATACTACATAAGCCAGTAACAGTCATTTATCACTATCAAGAATCATGTACTGTACATAATAGTATACTTTTGTACACCAAGCAGCACTGTAGGTTTGTTTATGCCAGCATCACTCCAAACACGTAATACCTTGCACTAGACAACTACAACCTCACTAGGTTTTAGGAATTTTTCACCTCAATTATAATCTTACAAGATCACTGTAGTATATGAGATAATGATCAAACAAATAGTGTGTTTAAATTTTTTTAATGTATCACAGTAAAAGACATTGTGATTAACGCCCCTTCAAAATACTCACCCTCGCTTTGAAAACACTTATCCTGTCATTCTTGCCACTTTCTGAAGCAGTTCTGGAAGCTCTTTCACAAGCATCTTTTGTTGCAATGTCATGGCTGCCTCAGTATCCTGCATTTATTCAAAACATTTACCTTTTATGGACATTTTGACTTTGGGGAAGTTGCAGAAGTTGCACAATGCCAGATCCTGTGGATAAGGACACACTATAATGTTCGTATTTGACAGAAATTGCCATAACAGAAGCGATGTGTGACATGAAGTGTTGTCAGAATCCATTGCCCCGTATCTCAGAATGTTTTCTATGCACACTGTTTCTTAAATGCTGTAATAAGCCTCAGTAATATTTAGAGTTTGCTGTACTGTTTCTGGATGCAAACTAAGCTCACACAATTCCATAAGTGTTGAAAAACATTCAGCATTCCTTTGATGCTTTCTTCAAATGAAGAGAACTGGACGATTTATATTGAAAAACTCTTAACCTGGAATCTGAAGCAGCATGATTGTGCAATTCCCATGAAATACATTGTTTATGATCCAGGATTTATGGCACACCCTAGCTCATGCCCAGTAACTGCACCAAACAAGTTGCAACTTGTCATATACTGTTATTAAGGCATACTTCTGATATTGAACACCCTGTGTTTCTGTTTAAATGGCACTCAGTAGCAGTATCACTGTATTTGTTAATATGCTATATATGCGTTTTTTTTAATTTTAATTTTTATTAGTACATGTTTGCAGTGCATAAAGATTACATTCATCATGGAGAGATGGTGCATGTACTTTTTTTTTCCTTAGATATTTTTATTGGTACATTTTAGATATACAATACATTTACATTTATCATTGGGTACTTGTACCTTTACATGATATATCTTGGTTCTTATTTTTTCCCCATTTCCTGTCCTCTACCCCCTCCACCCTTCCCTATTTGCAAAGACTTTATTTCCATTTCTCAGCAGTTTTCCTTTCCCTTCTTTCCTTTCCCCTGCCCCTTTGGACCTTTTCTACCTATTTCACATTATCAATTATTCATTTTTATCCTTATTTACACTTTCAGTTTCTCACACCAGAGAAACTGTTTGGTATTTGCACATGTCTGTCCTATTTATTTCACTTAAAAGTATGGTCTCAATATGTATCCATTTAGCTATAAATGTCTCTAGTTTCTTGTTCTTTATGGCTGAGTAGTACTCCATTTTATTAAAAAACCATATCTTCTTTATCCACTTTCCAGTTGATGGGTACTTGGGCTGTTTCCAATCTTTAGCTATTACAAACTGCCGCTGTAAACATGGGTGCGCATATATCACTGTGGTATGATTCTTTTAATTCTTTTGGGAAGATCCCCAGCAGGGGAATAGCTGAATCAAATGGGACCTCCAGTCCTAGTTCTTTGAAGTATTTCCACCCTGATTTTCATAGTGGTTGTGATGGTGCATGTACTTAACACATCTTAATTCAGTACCTTATAGCACATAATTTTATTGTTTCTTTCATTTTGTTTTTCTCAAATCTTTACCATGTTCATCACATTTAGCATGGTTTGCTTTTATTATTGTTTCTGATGTGTCTTTTAACTGTTCCTTTTTTCTTTGTCAGCCTAACTTTGATTTGCCAATTGTCTTAGCTTTTAAAAAAGTTTTTACTCTTTTTTCCCCCCTCTTAGGGTCATGTCTCATATCTACCACCTATTCAAGTTTTCATCTAATGTATTTCTGTTAAGTACCTGTCAGTGCCAAGAATAGAGTACGACCAGTCAGGGACTCACCTCAGTCAGAAAGTTTATAGAAGGACCAAAAAACTTAGTAATCAAGATAAGTAATAGTTTAATGTAATTTTTAAAAACAAAATTAATTCATAATAAACAATACCCAAAGTTTAGGTCAAACAATATTACATGTTTGGGGAGGTGGGAAATGTGTATAATGAAGCAAAACAAACATTTGATGAAAAAGATTAGCTCTGTGTTTTTGAAATAAATCTTCATAGTTTGTCAACTCGTTTGTAGGGGTAGTGAATGAAACTGGGATTTGGTAACTATGACATATGCTTTGTTATCTGAGATATCCTAAGAGAAGTTGAGTAGAAAAATTAAAGAAGAACAAGAATCTTCCAGCATCACAGAGTAAGTGTGGTCGTAGTTTTGCTCTAGGGTACAACACTTCCATGAATATAATTAGCTTTGCTTTTTATTTTCTGTCTTTTCTCCACAGCCTCATGATTTTGATGAATGTCGGTTTGATATTAGTGTAAATGATAGTGTTTGGTATCTTCGTGCTCAGGATCCAGATCATAGACAACAATGGATAGATGCCATTGAACAGCACAAGGTAAGATCCCTACTGTTTATCTGTTCATGGAAGACTAAAAGTCCTAATAATAACCACTTTAAAGCAATCTTGACATGTAATGTAGTTACTGAAAAATGAACATGATTTGGATGCTAAAGACTAAAGCAGTACAGGTGTAAATTTTTTTTTTTTTTTGGTACCAGGGATCGAACTTGGGTCCTTGCGCTTGCAAGGCAGGCAGTGGAACCACTGAGCTAAATCCCCAGCCCTGGGTGTAAAGTTTTGAAATAATTTTATTTCTAACATTTAAGCTGCAGTAAGATATTTGTTGTAATAAATATTTTTCATTGTTAATTGAAACGTATATGCTCTTTTTTATAAGACCTACCTTGATGCTCATAGTTAGAATTTGTTTTCATAAACACCCTTTTTAATGATCTAGGTAAGTAGATATTGGAAAAAACAGAATTGTAAAGCTTTCATGTTTGAAAGCTTC